CATTTCCTGCAAGGTAACATAGGCTAAACAAATCAGTCTTAATTATGTCTAGATATTTTTACTTTTGTTTTAGTCATCTGATAGAGCACCATAGTCTATGCACTAAACTAGTTTTGTTATAAAAATTTTTTAATGATTCTTTGGGAAAATTGCTCTCCCCTATGGTCTGCTCCCTGTCCCACTCATAGCACCAGCGTCAGCATCTCAATTGTGGATTACTGATATCTACATGTGAACTAGAATTCTTCCATCTCAGACTTGGCAAATGCCCACATGGCTAATGTTTACTCCATGAGGTGGTAATATGTTCTGAGTAACGTATACTCTTGAAGGCTGGAGTGCAAATTGAATCTTTCAAAAGTGATTTCCAATCTAAAGTGCTATTATCTCTCACTACATGAAATCGATTAGTTTTTTAAACAATGTTGCATGAACTGAATAATAATCCCTTTATTTCTTTTTCTTTTTTTTTTTTAAGAGTCCTGGCTAACATAGGGAAAAATAAATAAATTTTTAAAAATTAATGCCTTTTTGGCCACTTCTAGCTGAGGAAATCTGAGGAAATTAGAAACTTTCTTTCCAGTAAAATACGTATACACATATACACATGGATTTCTTTTCTTTCATTTTATTTTTTGTTGTAATTTTTGCTGGAAAGTGTGTGTGCTCACCAGACAGAGACACAAAGAGAGAGAGAGAGCGAGAGTAAGGAAGTACCCCTTATGGAGAATGGCCATGCTGCAATCCCTTCATCTCCATTTCTTCTTCTTTCCAGGATTTGGGGCACACACGCACATGCACCCAGTTTGTTTCTTTTTAGCGTACTATCATTGCTATTTTTTTTCTTATTTTTTAGTCCTACCACATATGACACAGATAAAAGGGATAATGAGTTTTCTCTGGGTAGAAGTTTTATGAAATCAAATGCTAGGTTACATTGTCTTGTCATTACATTTTCTCTATTTTTAAATTCAGTTTTATATCCAGTTATAACTGATTGCTTCTTTCCCAGCTCAGTTTTAAAAATAATAAAAGGCATAAACTTAAAACACATTCTTCTTTCATGTAAATTATCTGCATCATACTTTATACACATACCCACACTCGCCCCTCCACAATTACAAACGTGGGCACATACAAGTGCACCCCCACACATGCACGTGCACACACAAACTGTCAAAGGCAGGAGGGCAGCATATTTTACTATATGTTCATTTCCTGCAAGGTAACATAGGCTAAACAAATCAGTCTTAATTATGTCTAGATATTTTTACTTTTGTTTTAGTCATCTGATAGAGCACCATAGTCTATGCACTAAACTAGTTTTGTTATAAAAATTTTTTAATGATTCTTTGGGAAAATTGCTCTCCCCTATGGTCTGCTCCCTGTCCCACTCATAGCACCAGTGTCAGCATCTCAATTGTGGATTACTGATATCTACATGTGAACTAGAATTCTTCCATCTCAGACTTGGCAAATGCCCACATGGCTAATGTTTACTCCATGAGGTGGTAATATGTTCTGAGTAACGTATACTCTTGAAGGCTGGAGTGCAAATTGAATCTTTCAAAAGTGATTTCCAATCTAAAGTGCTATTATCTCTCACTACATGAAATCGATTAGTTTTTTAAACAATGTTGCATGAACTGAATAATAATCCCTTTATTTCTTTTTCTTTTTTTTTTTTAAGAGTCCTGGCTAACATAGGGAAAAATAAATAAATTTTTAAAAATTAATGCCTTTTTGGCCACTTCTAGCTGAGGAAATCTGAGGAAATTAGAAACTTTCTTTCCAGTAAAATACGTATACACATATACACATGGATTTCTTTTCTTTCATTTTATTTTTTGTTGTAATTTTTGCTGGAAAGTGTGTGTGCTCACCAGACAGAGACACAAAGAGAGAGAGAGAGCGAGAGTAAGGAAGTACCCCTTATGGAGAATGGCCATGCTGCAATCCCTTCATCTCCATTTCTTCTTCTTTCCAGGATTTGGGGCACACACGCACATGCACCCAGTTTGTTTCTCAAGCTGCCAGGTCCAGGACTTGAACCACACGGTCAGCCATGTGAGATCCAGCTTCTTAACCACCATACTACAGGCTGGCCCTAACATGAAAGTCTACGTACAATTTCAAGAAGTCTATGAATCCCTGCAAGCTTGTGTATGGACTCCAAATTATGATTTCCTGCACTAGCTAGATGAAAATGCATAATAAAATATACTTAAGGCAGGGAAGGGCTTATATATTACTCACTATTATTATAAGAATTAAATAAAATGATTTAATTTTACAACCCTGATTGAATTATATGAAACATATTAGAAAACCCACTTTATACATGTTTTGACACAAGCCCTGGAGAAATAGACTTAACTATTTCTGTTGCAAATTGTTCTTGATATCAAATGAATATCTTTTCTATACAAATGAAGTTCAGAGTATGAATATGACTTTAACAGAGATAAACAGTGCTTTTCATTTACCTATGCAATTTTATTATTATTCTGCTATAGTGGAGAAATTTAAATACTGAATCATAATTTTGAGTTCACTTTCCAGGACCCATTGCCTTAAGACATTTTACCTGAAACTAAAGGCTTTTGGGAAAAACAAAGTTTATTTCCACATAATACCTTCTATCACTTCTTTTATTGACTTCACCTCTATAAAAATGTCTCGTGTTAGGGACCAGCAGATGGTGTAATGGTTAAGTTGCTGGACTCCCACATAGTCAACCGTGGTTCAAATCCCAGACCTAGAGGCTTGAAACTAACACCAGGTGTGTGTGCTTGTGTACCCTAACTCCCAAGAGGAGAATGGAAGAGAAGAGATTGCAGTGTGTTCAACCCCACCAGGGTGATTTTTCACTTTCTGTTTCTCTGTTGCTTTCTGTGTCTTTGGCAAGTGCATACACCCGATAGCAAAAATGTCTTTAAAAACAATTCACATGGTAGTTATTTTTAATTACCTAAGTATGTGTGGATAATGCCATTACTATTCTGTATTACATCTGTAAATATTCCTCTTCCCTTTGAACACTACAGAATATTCTATAGTATTACTACAAGGAATTTACTACATGTGACTTTATGAAGACACTGATGCCCACGCATTGTAACATAACCCCTACTGTAATACTGATGCTAATTCTCTTAATAAGCAAGCAATGTCAACTAAAACTACACTCAGGCCATTGCTGGAAATGGCTCAACAGCTAGTGATTTGAGTAGAAAGAACAGTGTGCTAGGTCCCCCGCTCTGTTAACTCCTGAAAACCACTGTTCTCCTAGACGAAATATTCTAAATAGAAATATTGAATCTAAATGAATTTGCTTTGATTCAAGATTTTGTAGCCTCATGGTTTTATTTATTAATTTTCTATAAGTGATCTGTGGAATGAACATCAAAATTCAGTTGAAGAAATAAATTTTATTCAGACTTATTTGTTCTCCAGTAGAAAACATGTCTGACTAGAATAAAAGGCTTTTCTGCATTTTCCCAATTTCACTTTGGAACTCCATATTAACATTGAAATAGAAGGAAAAGCAGGAAGTATATGAGAGTACATGAAATTATGTCAATCTAGAATGGGAAGGGGGATTAAGAAAAATAAATGATAGATATTAGGGGTCTTCAAAAGGTTCATAGAAAATGAGTTTTATTTAAAAAACTATGTATTTAGAAAAAAACTTGCACCAAAATAAGTTCATACTTTAATTTCATGTTTTTCAAAAAATTTTGAAGACACCTCATTATTACATTATTTACTAATTATTTGGCTGATAGTGCAAAAAGTTGATGGCAAAATGTGTAATTAATGGTCAATGAATGTTTCTAGCCCATTAGATGTTCTTAGAAATGTTTTCATCGCACTGAAACTGAAAAAAGGAGCTAGAAAACTATAGGAAATAACTTCACAGCTCACTAAATAGTAACAAAACAGCATATATGAATTGGGTTAGGAGAAGATACAACAGGTGCACGGATTGCATTAAAACACATTGGAGAAAATAGTCAATGTTAGGAAAGTTCAGAAGAGAAGGGCTCATTTTGGGGAAACCAGAGATGATTTTATTAATGTAGTCATGCTTGAGATATGACTTATCTATCCTTAAAGGACAGATAAGATGTGGGCAACAAATGATGAGAAAAAGACATGGAACGAATTCTGTGAATCAAAGAACAGGTGCAGAATGACTAGTGGATGTTTGTGGATTAGTTTGAAATTGGAATTCAGTACAAGGAATGGTGAGCCACTGAAGATGAACAGACTAATGAACAGGTCAATGCATGGAGTTTCTTGGATGCGAAGCTAACGGGAATAGTCTTCATTCTATAGGCAGTGAGTAAAGAGCCAATGAATGATTTCACAGGAGGCATGGCATGATCAAAACTGGCCTCATCACTACAGCAGAGGCCAATAGCAAAGGGGTACAATTTCAATAAACGTGTATCCCATCACCTTCTCAACGTGATGGCATACACGTTTAGATTACACCTTCTCTTATTATTTATAAGAACAAAAGCACTAGTTTGAAAACCATCAAGAAATAGAAACATGACACAGGTATAAAAATTAACTTTTTGTTCTAAGATAATTTTGATAGATAAGTAGCACCCAAAGTCATAGTAAACAGCCTCAGAATTTTTTCCCTCAAAGTAAAAAAAGAAAACAGCATTATACTCAACCAAAAAAAAAACCAAAAAAGCATTAGCAGAAAATGAGAACTTTTGGTAAGTACTCAGCTTAAAGGCACAAACATTGAGCAAGAGGTATTTGTTATAATTTTCTAGTAAAACAAACAAAATCAGTGCTGTTTACTACTTGTCTGGCATAAACCACTTTTAGGTATGGGTCAGAAACAAGATCCATTCTGAAGGCATGGGATTGAGAGTTGAAATATGTAAGAATTTAAAGCAGAATTACCAGACGATTACACATATTTCCGCAAGTCAAATGCCTTTTGTGTTATGACTGTAAGATGTTGAGACTCTTACCTCGCACAACGAGATCAGCTGAGGCCGAAGAATTGTCCACGATTGTCTGGGCAGTGCATGTGTATCTTCCAGCGTGTTTCAGCTGGGCATTTCGGATCAGCAACTCTCCATTGGAATCCAGCTGTTACAAAAACAGCAATTGTTCAAATCAGTACATTTCTTTACCAATAATACGGACTTAAGATATATGAGGTACCTTTTTCTCCTAACACAATGGACACATTAAAAGGCATCTGTTTTAGCTATGCTAACTCTATGCCTTGTTCATGTTACTTATACCCTGTGCTTCAGGCTCTCCAATGAAAATAAAGTGACTGAAATAATTGCTTCAAGTACTTTTTAGATTCAAAATCTTCAACATTACTAATTCTGTAATCAGAGGGCTGTACTTACCAAAGGCTAAGCTGAGAGAAAACCAAGGGATCAAACTACTTCATTGGTATCTTTCAAGGAGAAATGTTAAGGTCTCATAATCTTAGTACTGACTGTCAAGGAGAACAAAGGAACACTACAGAGATGGAAAGAATTATTCAGTTCTGCGAAGTTGACCTAATTGACCCATGTCAATAAGTGCTATGGTTCATTTTACAAAGCTACTAAAAGTCTGCAGAAATTGGTTCAGTGGACAATTGTAATAGCTTGAACACAAAATATTCTCTCCTCCTCTGTTCCCAGTAGGGTTCAATACACATTTTTGAAGGCTTGAGGGGAATTTTGCTGCTGCTGATAGGGCACCACCTTAATGTATTTTTCAAAGGTAGCTAGTATTTATGGAATGTCTCCTCTGCACTGGGTCCCAGGCATATATGGCTTTCCAGATTTTGAAATCATACTCAACCTCTCCCCTTTTTCAACTTCTTTGTGGCTCCATTAAAAATTCTTGAATTGATCTATACCCTTCCATCACGACTTCCTCTTCCTTTGTCTGAATGTCAACATCTTGCTTGTGAACTACTATATCCTACTTGGTCACTATCTCCATCTCATCTTTACTCTTCTCCACTGGTTGACCAGAATGGCCTTTAAAAACTGCAACTACACTCAGCTTATCTCTCTCTGTAAAAGCAAACAAACCTTTAAGGAGTCTTCTTTCTAGAATAAAAACCGTAAGTGTTGCTATGGCCATCTTGACTTTATTCCCTTGGCCTTGTCCAATATTCCAATTCCCCCAGTCCTGCCACCTCACTTACACGGTGTTCTAGGAAGAACGTTCACTTTTAAGGACCACAAATGCATCTTGTTCTCTTCTATCTCATTTTCTCCATGGTGCTTCCTCTTCCGGAATTCCAGTTCCCTCATACCTCACCTCCTTACCTTATCACCTTCATCTAAATAGCACTGTCCCTCTCCCAATATCAGTTCAAATCAGGTCCTCAAGAAAGCCTTTCTGTTTTCTGTTGAGAGGTCCCCCTAAATTTTATCCTAGTACCTTGTACCTAGGTCATGTTGCATATCTTAATTGCAATTAATGTTTGTCTAATTATGTAACTCAAGTTGTTCTCCCTGAAAGAATCTATGTTTTATGTGAGGAGGAAAGATGTATGTTTTGTTTGGCAATGTGTCCCTATATTGTGCATTTATGTGTTTATCTCTAGGACAAACATAGTCTCCAGAACATAATAATGCTAAATGTATATTGTTTGAATAAACTTATCAAATCGTCTATTAAAAATTGTGGCATCTGCTCTTAAGATAATACATGCTACAATTGTTATTAGGTTAGCAAGTACATATAGCCCATGATAAAGACAGCATTTCTTAAACACATCGTGAGGTTTTGTTGGTGTAAAGATGGAGTATACACTCTTGAACCTTCTAAGATAACCCCTGCACTCACTCTCTGTACACAGATAGTATATGTGTTCATGAGAGAGAAAGAGAGAGAGAGAGAGAAGCAAAGCACCTCCTGACACGGCATGGTCACTTCACAATCCTGTTTCTCTGTTTCTCCATCCTATCAGGTTTGGGGACACACATATGTCCAGGGCATTTTTGAAACTGCTGGAGCCAGGATTTTAACTGCAGTTGGTATGTGGAATCTGGCTCACTTAACCATTAGGCCACAGGGCTAGCCCAAATGTTTTTATTAAAGAGATTTTTTTTAGTAATTTTACATAATTTATTTTCAGGTAAGATCATGGCAATGTTAAAAGATAAATTAGCTGAACTGAGAATAGCTATTGTTATCCATATTCATGAGATCAACAATCCACAAATAATATATTTCAAATTATTTGTAACCTAATTTTATGAGAAAAATAGAAAAGTTTTAGAAAAAGTGTACAAACTAGTGGAGAAAAAAATGTAGTTAACATATAAGAAAAGTGAAATCTCTATGCTTTTTAATTTACATGTATAATAAAGAATTTGATCTCACCCAAAGAAAGGTCTGGTCCTTTCTCTCAGCTTCCGGAAGGCAGGTTAGTGACTTTCTTTTCCTGAGGTTCTTAGAGTAGAGTGCAAAGTCTAATAGTGTGATTTAGCATGGCATTAGCATGCTTGTAAAGTAAGAGTAAGCATTTTTGGTCGTGTGGTATTCATGAATTTAGAGAGTGGATTAACCAGGTGGGTGACCAATCAATCAATTATGCCTACATGATGAAGCACAAACAAAAATTCTGGATTTGAGGCTCAGGTAAGCCTTGCTGGAAAGTGCCTGTGCAAACCGCCATGTGGCAAGGCTATTAGAGTAATCAGCTTTACTCCTTGGGGTGAAGACAATGGAAGCCCCATGACTGGTACTTCGGGACTTCGCCCTACGCACGTCTTCCTTTGGTTCATTTTCATGTGTAACTTTGTCCTATAAGAAGCTGTAACCATGAGTGTAAAACAGCTTTCACTGGGTTCCATGAGTTCCTGATAGTCAAAACTCCAAACCAAGGGTGGTTTTGGCAGAGTTCTGAACTTACAGTTGGTGTCAGAAGTGGGGGTAGACTTTGGGACTGAGTTCAACTTTGTAGCTGGCCTAACTTCTCATTACATACTCAACAGAATTCATCTAAGAGAGTAAGTAAAAAGATATTGGCTACAATTATATTCTTAAATTATTCTCTATATAGGGAAGATAATTAAATTTCCTGGACTATTATAAAAGCTAGTTGACATGTATGTCATTTTCTAGTGAGAAAAGATATATATATAAAATAATTCTAGTGAAATAATTTAAACACTCTATGTGTTTAAAACAGACTACCATAATGTGCTTTGACGTCCTCAATAGAAATGCACTTCATGCTAAATATTTGACAAAAGAAATGTAACATGTTTTCAAACTATTATGACACACTTAGAGTTGAGAAAGAGTAAGGATTGAATAAAAATAAAAACATTTAGTCCCATTGTATTCTTTAATTAAGTGAACTCAATACTTTGGTTGCCTCAGGTGTCTTGTTGAAAGAAAACCCTGTTGCTAAACACCCACTTTTTATTTTTATTTTTTTATAATAAGTATTTCATTTAACTTTATTTATGTATGTATTTATTTATTTATTTTATATTTTGACTAGAGAGGGACAGAGTGAGAGAGAGAGTGTGTTTGCCTGTGTGTGTGTGTGAGAGAGAGAGAGAGAGAGAAAGTGAGAAAGTAAGCTGCCAGGTCTGGGACTCAAACCATGGTCGGCCATGTCGAAGTTCAGCAACCTCAACCACCACATCATCTGCCAGTCCCTGACAACCGATCTTTCAAGGAGTCATGTGAATAGATTAAAATCTTAAAAAGTAAAATGCCTTAGCAATTTAAAGTGCTTATTTATCTAATTTTATAACAAAAATTTTAAGGGAAAATATTACAAAAATAAATCATCTATTGGGCAATAGTTGTCTTTTAAGAATGTTGATGTGTTCTATACTGAATATTCTTTTTTTCCTTAATGTAATGTTTTCTTAAACTCTTAATTCGAAATATAAAAATGCTGTTTGCAGGGTCAGCAGGTGCCACAGTGGTTAAGGCAATGGATTCCCACATGGCTCACCACTGTTCAAGTCCTGGACACAGTGGCATGAAAGTCATGCCAGGCATGTTCATGTATGTGCCCCAAATTCTGAGTGGAGAATGGACTGCGGCAGGGCGATCCTCCCTGGGAGATGATTTCCCACTTTCCCTCTCTCTCTGGCAAGTGTACACACCTATGTCAAATACCTAAAAAAAAAGAAAATCCCATTTGCATATTCACCTATTTTTATTATTTTAGGAATAATGTAGTTATTCTTATACTATCAGATCTAATAAAAAATCATAAACTTCTTTTTGTAATGACTTTTTTTTTAAGAGAGATTTTTTTGGTTATAGGGAGCATATGCTTTCTGGAGAGTCAGAGAGACAGAAAGAGAGAAACCACCCCACCCTAGGGGGATGGCCACACCTCAATCCCTTCTTCCCCATTCTCCTCTGAGGATTTTGGGCACCCCGTGTGAGCTTTAAATCATTGGGTCCAGGACTTGAACCATGGTCGATGACGTGGAAATCCACTGATGTACCCATTATGCCAACTGTTGTCCCCCCATAATAATTTTTTATATTAAATTTATTGAATCTTCACAATAAATGCTACAACTTTTGTTTTGTTTTATTTTTTTTGCTACAGAGCATGGGCCTTGCCAAAAAGAGTAGGAAAGGAATCCCTTCCCCTCCATCTCTCTCTTCTTTCAGGATTTGGGGCATGCACACACGTGCACACAGTGTGTTTCGCAAGCCACCAGATCCAGGACTTGAACTGTGTGGTCACCCACATGGGTTCCAGTCATGTTAATCACTAGGTCATGGAGCCAGCCCAATTCTTTACAACTTTTAATTAAACTACTCTAAAAGTTTAATGCTAAGCTCATTTTCATGTCAATTCTGTTTTAAACACTAAGCCTTAGGTGGGTAACCGTAGGCCGACTTTTCTGAGCAATAATGAGCACGTTTAACGTTTATCCTCACTTGTTCTACATTTGGTGAAGGTGAGGCACTGAAACACCTCAGAAGGAAAGCAAAGGAAAAATACACTATATTCATTCCCAAGATAGTTGGGTGTATATGAAAGCTTTCCTAAAATGTTCATAAATGCTACTAGCGCTTTCCATACCTCAAGAGAAGTTGAGGTTCTCGGCGGTTGGCAGAACGCTTACAAAGCAAGTAAA